CCCATAGGAGTTCCTAATTAAATCCAACCTCGCCACTCACTAAGAATTTGTGGTACCTTAAACTCTAGAGGTCTTTTTAGCTGGTATTTATACCCCCATCAGAGTGATTAAACCAGTGAGAAAATCCTTGAATATCCTGAAACTTTCTGTTTGTTGAAGCTGATGCCAAAGTACATCCACTAAGCATACCAAATGACTTTTCCTTCGTCGGAGTCAACTTTAGCTTTCAAAATCAAATTCAATGCAGAACTCAACTTGTTAAGCCTCTCCTTTGTGAAAAAAGTTCTAACCCACTTGACACATTGACCGTTTCTCATTCGACCATTGGTGTGATTGATGGTATGTCTCAGAAAATCTTTGTAATTTGAACTACATGACATTACCAGTACTCCTGGTTTGGAATTAGCAGAGTGGTTCCCCTGGATTGTGCCAATATCTCAGAGTCCTTTCCCATTTAAATGAAAGGATTTGATTGCAACAAGTGCAGCTGTTTTTGCTTGCAACTAGTGCAGAACAAGAGCAAAATTCCAGCAAACAAGGCCTGCAAGACAATAAGCTACTTTGTTAGTAACCAAAAACCTTTCAAGAAATCTTTCTGAATGAAGCAAAAACCGGGATTGATTCATTGCACTACTTACTATTATATGGATGCAATATGTGAAAAGAGAATTGCATCTCTTGTTGAGTTTCCTTCCCATGAAAGAATCAGCCTCAGGTTGAATAAAGTTTGAGTTCATAGCAAGAGATAAGTTCTTTGCCATTGACCTGAGTAAAGAAATCAATTAGAGAAGAAATAAATCATATCTGGAAATTCAAAAGCCAAATTAGCACTACACATAAAAATAAAAGCCTTTGGTTACCTTGCAAGACTTCCACTGCATGAATTTATCCAATCTTCTATTATACTCTCCCACATGCATCTTTTGTGTATACATGACAGGTGCCTTGGTGTGGAAGAATTATTAAAATAGCAAAGCACCTATTTTAGTACCAAATGTAAATTAATTTAGTACCGAAAAGAAAATCAAAATGAGGCTTTAATAGAGTACCTAATGCAATTTTTTTTTTCTAACAGACATCTGAAAACTCTTACCTTCTTGTTCATGTTCTTTGGTGCAGATACTGCAACAGCCCTCCATTTCAGATTTTCAATTTCAAGGCACCTGTTGTGGTACCAAATGCAAAATAATTTAGTACCTAAAAGAAAAGCTAAAGGAGGCTTTGGTATGGTACCTAATGCTTATTATTATTATTATTATTTTTTTTTCTGACATATATCTGAAAACTCTTGTGCAAATTAATTTACCTTGTTCCTCATGATTCCTTGGTGCCGATTCAACAACAGCCCTTCATTTCAGATTTTCAAGTTCCATATATATGAGTTCAACTAGTTGTTTCAGGAAGTAGACAAGCTCATGAAATATTAAGATATCTGACGTCCACCAATTCAAACCCTTGTGCTGGGAACTTTTGCCATTGGAAGCCTCACCCCACCTCAGGGTAGGTTAATTTCTTATCTGCACTCATGCAACAGTTAACTATGCAATTAATGTTTAAGTTTATAAATATTCAAGATAATTGCGATTGGCTTCAAAAGAATTTTAAAGGACTTACATTTTAAGTTTCAATGAGAAATGTAATTCATAGCAAGTGGTTACTTACTGCCTTCATTGCCTCGCAACAAGTGCCAATATCTCGTTGCCTTTTTCCAAGTTAGTTGAAGGATTTGATGCAGTTCCGATGTTATTGTTGCAACAGGTGTAGAACAAAAGCAAATATTTCAGCATGAAGCTATCACGGAAACTTTCTAGAAACTTTCTAGATGAAGCTATTGCCTATACCCCCAATTGATGCATTGCTGCTTACTAATTATATCGATGCAAATTGCAAAGAGAGAATCACTTCTTTAGTAGAGTTTCCATGGCATGAAAATTAGCCTCAGGTTCTAGGAAGTATGAATCCAAGGCAGGGAGAGTTTTTTGCCATAGACCTGCATAAAGAAATCAATTAGAGAAGAAATAAATCATATCTAAAATCCAAAAGTTGAATTATCAGAAATACAGACCTTAAAAATAAGGTCTTTTGGTTATCGTTCTTGCTATCCTTCCACTCCATCAATGTATTTATTGAATCTACTATTCTCTCTTCCTCATGCATCTTTAGTTTACAATTGGTGAGAGGTTTGAAGCAGAGGAATTATGAATAGGAAAGCACCTGATTTTGAAAAAAAAAAAAAAAAAGGAAAAAAAAAATGAAAAAGTAAAAAACAAAAAGGCTAGAGGAGGCTTTAATTGATATGGTACCTAATATCTTCAAGTTCTGAGTCTTCTGAAGAAAACATATAAGTTCAAAACTCTTAATGTTTTCCTTCTGATTCCATGGTGCAAATACTCTTAAGAATCCTACATTTCAGATTTTCAAATTTCCAAATATATATATCAGTTCAATTATTTGATGCCACAAGTAGAAAAGTTTTGTGAGTATATAATAAGTCAAAATAGCTCCATTCTAACCATTGTGTTGCATCCTCTGCTATTAGAAGCCTCTCTTCCCAGCTCAGGATTAGATAATTTCTTTTCATATCTGCATTCATACGATAGTTAACTATATGACTTTGATCTAAGTTCATAAAAGTTCAAAATTAACAGGATTAAGTTAAAGTATCTTAAAGAACCTGACAAATGCTATTTCATGTCGCACAGCCAAGTACTCATCGATAATTATGTCCTATGTGGTTGTTGCTCACTACAACACCCAAAAAGGGTCGTCAAGTTTGCATGAAGAACTCTGATAAGAAGTTTAAACTCTAAATTGATTGGAGTCATAGCTAAATGTTTAACATGTTACATATGAGAATGAACTCAAAAAGTATTTTAAAGGTAAAGGTGCAAACCTTGCAAAAATCGTGCATGTGCATTTAACCTAAAATCAATTGGCAATAGGTGGAGTAGCCCTAAGTTTCTTATTCAATGTGAGATTTTTCCCACTTAACACATGTGCAGACCCGCTATGAATGTCGGGTCCTGTCACGTGGGTTAACAGGACCCCTTAAATGCAGGCCCGGTATCAACTTCGGGTCCTATAAGGTGGGCTAACAACGAGCTTCCCAGGGTAGAACTTGGGCTTTGATACCATGTGAAAATCGTGCATGTGGGCTCAACACAAGACTTGCATCCAATCTAAAATCAATTGGCAATAGCTGGAGTAGCCCTCCTTGTATTTAACTCACAAGTTTCTTATTTTTATACTCGATGTGGGATTTTCGCCACTTAACAAACCTCTACAAGAAACTCATTATACCCTTGACCTGATGGTTGAGATAGCATTCTGACCCCTGTTTGAGTGTCATCATCTAGGTAACCATGGAAAGGTGCTCCAATTTTCAACTTCCTTACATCTGATATTGCCATTGAAAGTTCAATTAAAACAGATATATGAGGAAATTTTATTAGTCAATTTTAGAGCATAAATTTACTGTCTATTACACTTATTGAACTTCAAACACCAATGGATAAACAAAGAATCATACCTCATTAATTTTCTTCCTTTCAAGACCAGAAAATGTAGGTACCTGCAGTTAAAATGACAAGTGAATATTGCAGTTGATGCTTCTGTTGGAACAACAAACTTGTTACCATTTTAAATCAAACAGAACAATACATATCTTCTATCAGGTCATGCGACTAGAAATCCTGAGAGTGTCTAAAACTCCGATGATATGGATCATACAAACTCAAAATTCTTCTTTCTCCTACAATCATTAGTTTGCATATAGCTCCTATGATATGGTCCAATACTATATATGAGAAGAAACAGACCTTAACGAAACGGATCCATTCTTTGACCACTCTATGAGTTCATCTGGAAGTGAGCCAGAAATCTTGTTTAATTGGTTTCTATCATCATCTTCACTGATTATTTCCCCAAGAGATTCATATAAACTTACAGAAAATGTAGCATTTACAGATGGAATAGGTGAGATATCTGCCTTTTCAATCCCCTTATGGTCAAGTTCCTGCATATTTAAGGGAACTGTCAGTCTCAGGAAAGAAAATCGTTGTGAGCTTGATTTGGATGCTAGCTAAAAGGAAATAAAATTAAAAAGATTAAAACTAGGTAAAAGGATCATAACCCATATGGACTCAATTAAAACCATCTCCCATGTGCAATCTTTAGGAGCATAGGGATCTTGTTGCTAGTTTCTATTATTGGCATTATGTTGATTTTTGATACATTATTGTAACAACCAACATTAACCGGTTTATACAGATTATAGTAAAAAAATATTCAATTTTTGGTATCTTAGTCAAAATTATGCATAATATGTTTTAAGTTTGAGAAAAAAGATTAAAAGAAAAAGATTTCAATTTTTTGGTACTTCTATGGTTTGTTGGCGATTGAAAAATTCATTTCCCCTGAAACTGCAATAGCACTGACAAGAAATGGAAGGGTCGACCTGTTGGTTCTTCCCCGGTAGAACTCAATGCTTTCGCCACTCACTGGTTATAAAACTATATATGGCACTGGTATATGAGTAATTTCCAACCGTGGCATTATAGGAAAGTACCTTATTTTGAGAAATTATCAATTCTCTGTTGTGGTTTGCTTGGAGCTCTTCAAGTCTCGGCAAAGTGCATGTACACATAATATTTGGCACTGGGATCTGTAATCGCCCAGCAAAAACTGAAAGCTTTGCAGTTTCGGAAGTTGTATGGTGTCCACATCCAATCAAAAACATTCAGCCAAATAAGAAGTGCAAAAACATCAAAATCTCTGACCTGAAATGGATGACTTTTATGCTTAAAAATTTGATTTGACATGCGATCCTGTCAAATTATAAATCTATTACGGGTACATGAGTACAAAAGTAACAAACAAACCTAGACAAACTTCTGGCTTAGACTCCACTGTGAAGACTGACTCAAGCCTCTTTGAAATCCTCCAGACTTTAAGATCCAATGAGTTTGTGCATCAGACATTTGGCACATAACCTACTGGATATTTTCAAGCACATTTAAATCATAAGTTTGTCAGTGCAGGTTTCCTTGCCCAGTTGCCCTGTTTGTGCCATAATTAATGAGAAAGATAGCTAAATGCTGGGGGAAAAAAAAAATACTGTCTGTACAACCATTCCCAAAATACTGTATATGCATTCATAGACACCTACATATAATTTTCAGATTCACTGTTTGGTTGTATATTCAAGGGTTTGCTAAATTTTTACTGCATTTTTTTGCAACAATGCCAACACACAATAATGCTGTCCGACAGACAAGGCACATGAGAAAATTATATACCATTTCGTGAACCACAGCTAAGTACCTTGGAAAAATGTCTACATGTAAACTTCTAAATTAGTACAATATTTCACATTGAAAGCATGTAACAAATCCTATTTTAAACCATCTGTAAAAAGGATCTATAACAAAATAATAAGAATGCCTAAACAGACCAAACGACAGCACCCAAAGAACAACATAATATTAGCTAAAGTCAATGAAATTTAAACTGAAATGCAGTTAGACAAAAGCTAAGGAAAAAAAAAAAACTTGAAAGTTTGATAAGCGAAGATCATTTGTTTGCCAGGTTTAGAGAACTAGTCAAACATAGTTATCATTGGACAATTATATACCTGAAAACTATATAAAACCGAATCTGTTTGTGGGGGTGCACAAACAATTGGAGGAGAGGGCCAATCATCTGGTTGGGTCACTTGTTGTGAACATCAGCCTCAATTCTTCATGACTTTGAATTCAAGGCTGGAATTCAAGGCTGAAGAAAGTACTTGCTAAAATGTTTCCCGAACAATAATAACATAAAAATAGAAGAGAAAAATCGAAATAAATAAGATCAATTAATTAAAAAGAAAATAAAACAAAAACGTGAGATGCAAAAGCAGAACTGCAAGGAAAAAAACAAACCTCTAAAATGGAAGGAATATCACCAAAAAAAAAAAAAAAACAGTAAATGAGATTATTTGATTTGTGGAGAAGAGAAGGAAGATAAGTAATATGGTTATGAGGGCTGTTCCCAAAAAAAAGAGAAAAAAAAAAAAAAAGAAGGTAATATGGTTATAAGAGGACTCACAAGATTTGCACCATAGCCCATAGGTTACAATTCCAACTCTGCAAGCTGATATATCTGCTTTTGCTTTAACAAATAATCGAAAGTTAGTTTAGGATGACACGGGGGATGTGGGAAATCTTGGACCAATCGGGGCCTCTCTCTTTGGCACATCTTTCCTTCAATTTGGGACAATTCCAAATATCTAGATATTGTAAGTTGGAAAGGCGGCGCATGGCTTCAATAGAAGGCAAATGCATTAAGTTAGAGCATTTCCAATTCGCAAAACTTGAAGAGAAGAGAAGTTTTGGAACCATTCTGGCAAAACCTCCAGGCTCTCAAAGGAGAGTAACCTCAATTTTCTGAGGGTAGTGAGATATTGAAGTTGATGTGGAAGAGACTTCAGTTTGTCCCATCCACTTATTTCTAAAATTTCAAGGGAAGTGTGGAGGTGACTAAGGGAAGTGAATCCAGGAAATTCCTCCAACTCTGACCAGAAAGGACCCAAACACAACTCCTGCAAGTGGGTGAGGCAACCAAGGCACTCCTCTGGAAAGCTCCTCAATTCTTTACAATTAAGGATTTCAAGAACAGTGAGAGAACACAATTCCCCAATATCTTCTGAAATGCTCTTTAATTTGGTGCAATTTAGAATCCTTTAAGTAGCAAGAGAAGAAAGGTTACCCAACCCCTCTGGTAATGATTCCAGGCCATTGAAGTTCCATAACGCCAATTTCTTTAGGGTAGTGAGATGTTGCAACTGATGTGGTAAACACTTTAGCTTATCCCATCCATACAATTCCAATGTTTCAAGAGAAGCGTGGAGGTGATGAATGGAAGTGAGTCCTGAGAATTCTTCCAACTCAGTGTAGAACGGACCCATCTTCAACATTTTTAAGTGGGTGAGGTGTCCAAGGCAGTCCTCCGGCAAGCTGGCCAGCTTTTCGCATTTATAAACATCCAACTTAGTAAGCAAATGCAATCTTCCAATATCTTCCACAATAGAACTTAGATTAGAACAACGCCCAAATGGACAAAATCTGGAGAGAGATGCAAGTTCCCAACCCATTTGGCAGACAAATTAATTTTTCACAACTATCAATAGATAATCTTTTAAGAGAGAGCAGCCCATCTATGTTTGGGATAACCATCAAATTCTCACAAAAGTTTATCTGCTAATAAGAGAGCTTGTGGTGAGATGAAAATCCATCCATTGACCAAGTTTTCCAGTTAGGACAACAGCTGATTTCCAATATCTCAAGGCAAGGAAACGCAACCATGTCTTCTATTTCTTCCCATTCTTCTAGGTTGTTCATGTCGAATATATAGAGTTCTTTCAAAGCCGGAAAAGTGTGATTAATTTCCCCCCACCATGGCTACTACTTGCTTTGTTGCTCCTGTTAAGATAAAACTTGCTGCCCATACATTTCACTTTTTTCATACCATTTATTCTAAGAACTTGGAGACTAGGCAATAATCCCAAACAGCTTGGAATATCTGTGCATTCACCACAATTATAAAATTTTAATTCTGACAGATTGTTGAGTAGAGATGAATTACCAGATAAATTGACACCCCTATCCAACCATGATGGAAATATCCCTCCCTTATAGCCTTCAATCTCAAAGCTTCTCAAATTTGGGTGAGGCTGAAGACCTTCCAAAACCTCCTCATGATTGTTGTAGCCTTCATTTCCTCTCCATTCAAATTTCAACTCATACAATTTTGTCTTCTGTTTCAAGTTTGCTCTTCTAGCTTCTGATTGAGATCTAACAAACTGAAGGTTACATATTCTCAATGATCCCCCAAGTTGACTTAAGGGCCCTAGCTCATCAATCCAATATCCCCTTTCTTTTCTCACAACAAATAATGATAAGGTTTGAAGGGAAGTTAAATGCCCAATCTCTCTTGGCATAAGTTTGGGGTTATTAAAGTAAAAATGTTTTAAGCTAATCAGATCTCTCAATTCATCAGGAAGCTTCTGAAGATGATTACAACCGATAAGTTTTAAGGTTTGCAAACTATACAATTTGGTGAAGGATTTTGGCAACGCCTTGATCTTAGTTTCTGAGATATCAAGGTATTTCAAATGCTTCAATTTGCCTAGAGAAGCTGGCAATTGATCAGCATCTGCTTCCTTCAAACTTAAAGAACGTATGCTTTTAAGATCTCCTGACATGTTGCAAAAATCAACTTCTGAGAAAAATGAATGCAACTTTGGAGCAACACCCCTCAAAATAGTTGGATCTGCTTCTACACTAGATGGGACCCTCATACGTAGAATGCAAGAGTTTTGAACGACGGCACCATTCTTCAAAATTAGTGTTTCACTTTTTGAAACAAACATTGCAAGATCATGCACTACATCATGCATCTTGCAAGATTTGATATTTCTATATTTGTCCCATTTCACATCTTGAAATAAGGAATTGGCTAACAAGTGATTAAAGTAATCATTACCAATATCCTCCATTGTGATGAAGCTTTCATTTGACAGTTTGCTTTCATTAGATTGGTGAAGAAATCCAACAGCCATCCAAAGTTGAACTAAATCATCTTTTTGAATAACAAAATCCTTTGGAAAAATTGAGCAGTAAGAAAAGCATTTTTCAAAGGAGAAGGCAAATGATCAAAACTGATTTTCAATACAGATAAAATCTCATCTCCATCTCTGGAATTAAAAGTCCATGCTTTATCATCTCTGATATTCTCCCACGTACCAGCATCAGCTTGAGGGCTCAAAGTTCCTCCCATGACACTTGCTACTAATGGCAAAGCCCCACATTTTTTGGCAATATCATGTCCAATAGCTTCTAAATCTGGAGGCATCAAAGTTTCTCCCGATGATCTAAGAAACTTCTCCTTGACAATCAACCAACAGTCATTATCTGATAGCCCCGATATTTTATAACTTTGCATTGGAATTGACTACATCACAGATGCTACCTTTTCACTGCGAGTTGTTGCCACAATAGAGCTCCCATTTTTTTCAGAATTTTTAACAGAGAGCTGAAAGAATCCCACTTTTTAGGATCTTCATTCGATACGTCATCAAGAATGAGAAGAAAAGCTTTTTTCTCTAATTCTTTGGCAAGATCTTCTAGCAGTGCATTCATATTATTCGTTGGAGCGGCAGTACGATCAAAATGCCGCAACATCTCTCCAAAAATTATTTGCTCATTGAAATCCTCAGATACACACACCCAAGCCACTAGATCATAAAGCTTTTCCTCCTTTGCTTTCATGTATACTGATTTTGCTATTGTTGTCTTTCCAACCCCAGCCATACCTACAATTGAAATGCCAGAGACAGAATGTTGACTATGTTGACACCTCAAGTCAAGTAACAAGCTGAGAATTGTTGCGACATCATATTCCCTTCCAAATAGTGCAGAATTATCAGGAAAAGAGTCTGTCTTTGGATATTGCGTTGGACAAGTTTGGCCTCTCAATGAGACCACTAGGTTGATCATACCGGACAAGTCTTTCAAATAGCTCAACTGCTCAGTAATGTCCTTGATTTTCCCAGCCATACGATTAAGAAACATGGGAGAAAAGGAGATGGACTCAGGAATCCAGTGTCGCTCACGATACTTAACTTTGTGCTTTAGAACCTTGTACTCACACTCATCTAGTGCATCCACCGCCTCATAAGCTACATCTTTGAGATTTTGCAGCCAACACATTATGGCCGGATCACTTTCTTGCCCTTCCTCTGCCTGCTGAACGACAGATTGAATCAATTGGAGAAAAAGGCGAAGCCTATTGAGCTCCTTCTCCAAACCCAGTTCAGTCACGATTTTATTCTTAAAAAGTGAGACAGTTTTTGATATTGTCCCATCAATGATAGGGCTAAGGATATTGAGGGCAATGTCAGCCATTGTGATTGGACGCAAAGAAGGTTTACCCGCACAAATGAATTCTGAGAAAGAGGAAAACAAGCAGAATAGCGTTACAAGAGGAGAGATATAAGATGAATGTAAAATGCAGAAGAAGATTATGCAAAAATATTTTCATTTGAGAAACTTAAAGAACACAATCTTCTCCTTTCCAAATCTAATCAAGCAGAGGAGCACCTTGTAAATTCACTATAAATTCATAAGATACAGCTCCAGAACAACTGAAAAATAGAAGATATAAGAAATTAAATGTTGTATTTTTTGAGTTATTTTTTTTAATGGAAAAATAATAAAAAACCTAGGCTTTAATCGTTTGTACTACATTTTTTTTAGTAATCATTAAATATAACAATATTGATTTATAATTAAAATTAATATTAATATATTACAAAAATGGTTAAAATCATTAATAAATCTCGAATAAATGCTTAATAGGTCTTCTAAAATCTTCAATAAATCCCTTTAAATACTCATAAAATCTTAAACTTAAATAGATACCTAATGCGCCTCTTTTGTAGAAAACTTAAAGAGTTTAAAATCAGATTAACTCTATTTATATCCAAATTCTTATTAAATATAAACCCCCCAAATGTTAATTAAATCTATGCCGAACTAATTCTTATCATTTTTAGAAACATAAATTTCAGTTTTTTTTTTTTTTTTGAATTCTTAGGCATCTTACAAATAAAGAGGATATAGGTTAATTTTGTGAATATTATAATTGTAAAAGAAAAAGTAGACTCTAAAACTACCTGTGCCGCGGATTTGGCCCCTATAGTAATCAATTAAAATTTGTTATATTAATTTATTATAAACATAAAACTTTTTGAGATAACCATGATATATACAGTAATTCATCAAATCTTCATTAATTTCCTTTATCTTGACATCTATAACCATTACCATATATTATATATATCTTTTTTTTTTTTTAATTTTTTGATAAGACAAGAGTAAGTGATTCAACTTGTGGGGGGGAGGGGGATATCACAAGTTTAAACTTTGTCACAAGATGAGGAAGCTTTTTACAATTAAATAGATGGCCAGTGGATATGAAGATATTCCTCTATTATATATCTCTTTTCAATTACCATATAATAATTTGATTTTTACTTCAATTATTTAATGAGTTTAGAGTAAATACACATTATATTATATTTAAAGTGGCATTTAGCAAATTGATTCTTATTTATTCCATTATTATGGGACTAAAGGGGTAATGATAAATATGTTAATAATTCTGGATAAACATATTTTTAAATAATGATTGCTAAAATTTCAAAAATTATGAATAACTATAAATTTTAGTACAAATAACTAATGTGTATCAACTTTATAATAACTAAGGGTGGCAATTCGTTTTGATCCCTATGGGGTTCTATGGAGATCTCGCCATGGGACAATCCTCCCCGTGGGGTGGGAACAAGGGGCACTTTTTTCATGTGAAATTTTGCGGAGAATTTTTCCCACCCTGGGGCTCCGCAGAGATCCCATCACCATGAAAAATTAAAAAAGTGTAAATTAATTTTATTTTAAATTTAATTCAATTTTCAAACTTAAACCCAATTTATTAAAAATTAACTTAATTCAATTTTACTTAACCCAACCCAACTTATCATTAACCTTTTAACTATTTATATTAGATTGATCTTTATTTATATTTAGATGATTTATATTTAATTTAATATTTAAATAATTTTAGTTAATTGTACTTAAATTTTTAAAATTTTATTCATTATAATTGAATATTAATTAATTATATATAAAAAATTTATATTTTAATATTAATTAATGAAGAATAAATCCTCATCCCTGCCATTGGCAGAGACGGGGATGAGGAGGGATTTCTCGGTCTACGAGATTTTATTGACATCCCTAATAATAACCATGTCAACTTGAAAAACCAATTTAAAAAAGTACAAAATTTGTTCTAAATGAACCACCTTAGCATAAGCATCTTAGAACACTTTCTAAGAAACCTAAAATAAAGAAAGCGCCTCTATGAAGAACTTAAAACTGTTTTTTAACATTTTCTTTCTCAAAATCTAAACCATAAAAAAAAGTATGGTGATGGGTAAATCTTTTATTTTAACACAATACACAACACATTTATTAAAAAATTATTATTTCTTAATCCAAAATTAAAAATAAACAAACTTAAAACTTTAGCCACACTTACAAGATGCAAAATCCAACTAAATATACTGTATTTATTTTATATTTTAATAACTGTATTGAAATGAGTGTTAGAAAATATTTTAAACTGAATGTGTACTAATCATTTTTCACAAAAATATTATGAAAATGATAAAATAAGATAAATATAAAAATTATTTCAAACACATATTAATTTCTTATAGGCATAGATCGAACTTTCATATCAATTAAAACTTTTTGATAGTACAGTTTATCAAATCTTCATTAATTTCTTTGATCTTTTCATCTATAACTATTACTATTACATGTCTTTTTTTTACCCCAATTTGTCTCCTCTCTCATGAATGCCCTTATTATAAGGTTTTAAGTCAAAAATATAAAAGATATAACTTATTAACATTATTTTTTGGTACTTTTTCATCTACTTATACTTTATTTTTTATTAATTTTTCTTACAACGTCACCTTTTAACTTACTCTAACATTTTTTATCATTATATTAGACATATTCTAAATAAAATGTATAAAACACGGTCCATACTTAGACCTGGCCACTCGAAGAGGTGGCACTTTTGGCTTAAGCCTCTAGCAAAATACAAAAGAATTTCCAAAAAAAAAGAAGAAAAGAAAACCTAGAAATGAGCAAAATACTGGGTCGCTTACCAGATCTGAAACGCTTACCCAGTAGCCAACCACACAGAAGGACAGCAAATGCAAGCGAATTCTTCTGGGAGAAAAAATGAGATAGAAGACTCAGCAGAGATAACCAAATACACTGTATCCATATAGCATATATGACACGATGACTTTAATGTGAATGTTTTACTGCAGTCCTTGTTGCTTTGTGCTTTTACTTTCCTGGAAACCAATATGGTTTTTTTCCCAAGTTTGTTGGGCAATAGCAATGGGATGTTTCTGTGATATTTCCCTTTTCCTTAATTAATTTCTTTCCATTTTCTGTCTTACTAATCAACTGTAGCCTGTCCTATTCTTATTCTTCTTCTGTGTATTTTCCCTTCTTTATTTATTTATTTATTTATGAATATGTGTCTAGAGTTAAAGTTTGTACGCCAATAGTACCCTTTTAGTGGGAAGTGTTGGGATATAAAGTTCTGTATTTTATTCTACACCTAGACACTATAAATTCTCTACTCCAAAAAAATTCCTTAAGAGCATGTACAATAAATGCTCTGTTTGATATTCTTTTACAAAAATAGAACAAAGAATACCACTAGACCTCGCAAATAAGTCGGGTGGGTTTGGATTGGGATGTCTCGAATCTTAAGTTTTTTGTATTAGGTTATTTCAGGCGTTCAGTCAAAGGTAAACCTATAATTCATCACACAGGTCTCAAATTAAATTGAGTGGACTTAATTTTTAAAAAATTAAAATTAAAAAATGTCTATATATATTTTTATTTTTTTAATAAAATCTAATACTAATTAATTATTTAATTAGAATACTCTATTAACTGGCTAATTTTTATTTTATAATTCAATTTTCATTCCAATCCCAAGAAAAAAAAGGAGAAAAATTACTGATTTCATAAATGGAACTAAAATATATGTCAAATATATGATGCCTATACATATTTACAATTATAATTTCGTAAAGACATTAACCTTTATTAAAAAAAGAGATATGAAAAATTAGAGTTCAAAAGACAAATCCAACTTATATGTTAATATTTAGTGCTATTCAATATTTATAAGGGTATTATACAAAAAATACTGTTCTATTCAATATTTAGAAGAGCATTACACAAAAAAATATAACCCTATTCAATATTAAAGTTGGCAAATTCAAAATATATCTAAACAAATACAAGAAAAAATTGGATCAGGATTGATTTTTATTAATTAGGAACAAATTATTAATTAAGAACAAATTAGTAACTAAAAACAAACTTTGATGTTCATGTCTTTGTACTTCCAATGGAGATGAGGGTGCCTCAAACACAAGATTTTGATTTTTAATAAACATTTTTGCTTTCTATTGTTAAAAAAAAAACCCTTTTTGATGATGTCGTGTGATGTGGTTCATTATGTACCATCTAATTTGATTTTTGACTTGAATACCACTAGAAAGAAAGATCAAAGAGCTTAAGATGAAGAAGAGGAGAGGAAGAGTAGAGAAGAGGAAAAGTTGAAAGAAAGTGAGATCGTTGGGAATTTGAGTATTTTATTTATTTTTATTTTTAGAATTAAAAAATGAAAAATTAAATTTTAAATTCTAAGTAATCTCAAAAAAAAAAAAATTTCAGTTATTTTAGATAACTTGATCCACCTGTAACCTAATCCATTTAATTAGGTTTAGATAGTTTTAATCTGAGTTATTTTAAATTTTAGATTAATGTATAGAAGTCATAACTCGATCTATAACAAATAAATTAGGTTAAAGTTTTAGATGGGATGCAATTTTACCGGTACTAGATACCACGTCATCCATTGGAGCAAAAATATAAAAAAGAGCTGAGCCCTCTGCATCAAGCCCATTCTCTTTCTATTTTTTTGTTTTTTTTGGAAGCCGGAAGGAGTAACCATACGGCTGTAAAGTTCGGCCAAAATTAAATATATGGGCCTTAGTAAAGTCCAGCTCGGACCAGACCATAAAGAAAGTCCAGACCAGACTGCATTAAAGCACCTTGGCCCATCTCCTTCCCAGGCTAGGTAGCGTTTTCAAAATCTATGGCCCACTATGTCCTTTGCCTCCAACCGAATTCCAGACATGAATTTCAGTTGTCAAAAAAAAAAAAGAAAAAAGTTACCATTAAGAGCTTGATCAAATTAATATCTATTAATTTAAAAATTTTAATTTAAAATTAAAGTCAAAGGATCAAACTTTTATAATGCCAAATAGCTAACCTTTAAATTTATTTAAAAGAATACAGTTTAAATTATATCATGTTATAAATCAACAAAGGAGCATAACTTTTACTATCAAGTAATGTATTATTATTTAATAGTTTAAATTATGAAATTTAATACAGATTAGATTGTATTAACACTTATTTTAATTTAAAAAAAAAAAACAAAAAACAAAAGCCAAACATAGTTGTAAGAAATAAATTTTATTTGGAAACCATTCAATGTCCTTGAAACTGGCAAGCAGAGGAGGTGCAGGAGCAGAAATAGGGGGAGCTTAAGGGTTCAGATATGCATTGGTTGACACTGTTTGTACCTTATCAAATGTAGCTACTTTGAAATTGTGTAATTCATGTTGATTTTACTGCACACGTTGAATAAGAACACACACATTTGTAAGGGTCCATAGCTCTGGATGTGTTTTCAGCTAGTATTTATAACCCCCAGAGAGTAATTAATGATTAAACTAGCGAGAAAATCTTTGAATGTCCTGAACCACTGTTTGTTGAAGCTGACGCCAAAGTCAATCCATCATGCAAACCAAATGACTTTCCCCTTGTCGGAGTCAACTTTAGATTTCAAAAACAAATTCAAGGCAGAACTCAACTCCATGGCATTAACACGCTTCTGGTTTTGGAATTAGCAGTGTGGTTCCCTTGGATTCTGCCAATATCTCAGAGCCTTTTCCAAGTAAATCAAAGGATTTGATGGGGTTCGGTTGTTTTTGCTTGGAAATAGTGCAATAACAAGAGCAACTATTCAAGCAAACAACGCCTGCAAGACAAGAAGCTACTTTGTTAGTAACCCAACACCTTTCAAGAAATTTTTCAGGATGAAGCAACAATAGGAATTGATTCATTGCACTACTTACTAACTATATGGATGCAATACGCAAAAAGAGAATCGCATCTCTTCTTGAGTTTCCTTCTGTAATTGCACCAGACCCGAAGTCATTCTCTAGTCCGCGCTTGCACTTCGGAATGACCTGCAAAGCCCCGAGGTGGAACTCGGGGTAGACACTCCGATGCTTAAGTCAGCAATAATCGGGGCTACCTTTAGGGCGGAGATAAGAAAAGCTTAAGGTTGGTTTCAATTACCTTT